CATGCAAGTTAGTGTGAAAGAACATATGTTGACATACAAAATATTGGAGCTCATGCCCATGGATACATTTTCAAGTACATATCATAAATAATACTAATATAGAAGACATATCAACTTGGAATAATATTTGAGATATTCATCTTCTGCTGCTTGGTTTATTTTGGTTTCCTGGCTGGATTATTCATCGACCCTGAAGATGAAGGCGATGTGTTCCTCCGAAGCCCAGGATGGCTTTAATCGGATTACATGAGTCATGTCCCATAGAACTGTTTATTGTGCAATATTAAGAGAGATATCAACTACACAGACCGTGTTACAATTTTATATAAGTTTCCTGTTTTGGCAATCCTCGCTCTGGTTTCTAATCCACACAAAGAAGAAGTTGCCCTGATATGATCACAGCTGTGTACAGAACCTTTCAAAGAAAGAAACGTTTCCCAGGGTAGCAAACATACAGAAAGAGCATTACTTTACTAATGAAACCACACTCTGAAAGGCGAAGATGTAAGTCTCATTCCAGCGCAGTTTTCTTTAAGTCCTAGAACATGGAATCTGCTATTTTCAATATGACTTTCCTTTCGTCTTGGTTCCTCAATTCTTTCTGAACAGTTCTTTGATACTCCCTTGAGACGAAAGTCAAGAGGGAGTTAGTTTCCTGTGGAATGGTGGTTTTCTGAATAATACAAATAGATGTGACAAGAGCTCAAGTTTTCATCACATTTTCTGTTATTTTTCTTCCCTATCATCTTTTCCTCCTTCCTTTTCTTCTTCTATTCCTCTTCCTCATCTTTTCTGTGTGTTATTTTGCGATTATTTTAGTAGCTAGTCTCTGCAGTATCGAAAGATGGGATAACAGGCCTAAATGAACAAAGATTTGGAACAGTCTTTTAATCATTGCCTTTCGTATATGTAGGTAAGGTTAGATTGTAATTGGAGGTAATCAGAGGTTGGGATAGACTGGATGACGGGTTGTGTTTGTAGATAGAATTGGGTTCGGAAGTGATTCTATTGTTTCTGCGCAGATATGACCGGTAATTAATTCAAGGTGTATGCCAGGAGCCATCAGTTATTCCTGGGCGGAAATAAACTGCAAATTTCGAGGGATTGGCCCTCATTAACAGTCGGGGGCTCGAATTGGGTTAGCTCAGGGAGACTGGGACTAGGATCGTGATGACAGGACGTGATTCAGATGAACAGCAGTCGCTCGATGCAACACAGGTTGAAGTACATAGATGGAGATTTATTATCACAGTTGGAGGCACTGTTACGAGTTCGCTGTTGGCTCTGGGTCTTGCAACACTCTCGTTGTTAATTCGTCGTAAGTATGTATATATTGTTTGACTTCATTCCCTAATTGTTGCTACTTAAATTCAGGGCGAATTAAGAAGATAGCCTAAACAATAATTCAGAATGTAGCTGGAGCGTCACTAGGTCATCTGGTTCTACGAGTGAATATTACGGAATAATTCAGTCTGAATTCCTGAGAAGAAGCGTCTGCCTTGATTTCCACATTTCTAGGCGACAGACATCCCCTTGCAGATTCTGATTGGACGTATTAGAGCAGACTAGGAGCTTTTTTATTGCTAGTGGAGTGGAACTAAGTCCTTTATAATGCGGCCACTTCTGGCCTATTGTACCAGCCCCAGATGATATGTGAGGGTGATTGTGGAGCAATTGGTGGAATGAAGATTGGCAGGGGAAACCGAAGTACTCGGAGAAAACCTGCCCCAGCGCCACTTTGTCCACCACAAATCCCACTTGACCAGACCCGGGATTGAACCCGGGCCGCCGCGGTGGGAAGCCAGCGGCTAACCGCTTGAGCTATGGCGCGGCCTAGACTAGAAGGTTACTAAAATCTACATTCTCAAATTGGGAGAGAAACCAAGCGGCCATGGTCTCAGGGGAACTAAGCCATCTGCCGCCCTTCGAGTAATTAACTTTGAAATAGTGTGGGCCCGGAAAACGCTCTGATAAAAATTACGACTTCTGCCGAAGTCAGAGTTTAGAATTTCGAAAGAGCTGCCGCCGCTTCACCCTAGTTTCGTATTTCATTTAACTCGGGGTGACTTTATTTCTGGCAGCTGACTCAAGCCTTGTTATAAGCCGCCTCCTTAAACCAGGAACTTGACTAGATCTATTACAAATGAACTAATTGTATGCTGGAAACAATTAATTCCAAATTGGGCCAGTTAATTAAAGATTGTCCTAATTTGGACTGCTACAGTTTTCAGGGGAGCGGTTGTGGCCTAATTGAGGTGCTCTTCAGGAACTTGCCTGGAGGCACTGAGGGAAACAGCGTAAAACGTCAGTCAGGACATCCAATGTCCAGATCGATATTCGAACCGAACACCTTCCAAATAGAAGTCAGCATTATTGCTGGGTCAGCTGCTGCTCCTCGCTCTTGTTCTGCTTTAGGGCCGAGACGAGCAAAGTGGTGCCAACCCTCAAGAATCGCACCACTAGCGTGGCGGGCAGGTGCCCAGCTCAGATCTCAGAATAGCTACCACATCCTTCCAAATTCTGACTTATTCTTGATAATTTTCTGTATCAATATCAATTCTGTGACTTCTGCATTAAAATAGCGGCGTTAAACGGCTGAAATGCTACAGAGTAAAATTCGTGATTATAAAAAAATTAAGATTTACTGTTGCGAGTTGAATGTTTTAAGTTTTAACTCACTATGAGGGAGATAAGCAATGCACACAGAATTCCATTCTGACAATATTAGAAGATGAAAGTTTGAACACTCAGGCGCAGTGGGAGAAAAATATTGGAATTAATTTTAAGCCTGTTGATTATGCGGCACGCGGCAGCGTAGTTGGGTGAGGGGCTATGCTATAAGCCGGAAGGTCGCCGGTTGGATTCTTGATGAGGTCATTAGATTTTTCAGCTGACCTAATCCTCCCAGCTGGGCTATGGCCCTGGAGTAGACTGAGATTCTAACAGAAATGAGTACCAGGAGACTTCCTGGAGAGTAAAGGGCGGCCGGCGCTTAAGACTGACAGCCTCATCGCCATCTGTTAGCCGATTGTCTAGAAAATGTGGGAGCCTCGACGTCTCAGAACCCTACGGGCCTCCATGGCCTGTTACAGGGATAGCTTTACATTCTTTTACTTTTAGAGTATGGAAAAAATTCCGATGGCTTGTTAAAATATCCAAGAGCAGACACTTCTATGAATATTTTATTGAACCTTAGAGGTTCTGTGAAAGATATTAAATAAGTTCATCGGATGATCGACCATTAAGTTTTCAAGAAGGAAACTGCACCGTGCAGTTAGTTAATTACTTAGTTACGTGTTTCTCGTACGATCATAAATCCGAGAAAATGTTTCATAAAAACGTCAGCGATAAAAGCTTGGCACTTTCCCTCCAGGCCCTCCCTCCTTCCCTCCCTCCATACAAAGTGCTTATACAAGATTCATTATGTTCCTGTAAATGAGGAAAATGCATATGTTATGTCGCGTAAAACTTAGTATACACACACGTTCTGTGTTGGAATTGCATGGCATTATATCCATCCCATACACTTTAGTATCGATGTGGCAGTGATTAATATCCACACGAAACAGGATTTTGAGCTGCCATAAAGCTACTGATATTCCGTTTATACAACTTTTATCTATTGATTTATATCATTAACATCGCCTCCTCATACATTACAACAATAAGAGTGAATTTTCTGATTGCCGATTAAACTTATCAATACGGAGAGTTCGCGTCAGTTAACATCAACGAACCAGCTAATAAATAAATAAAATGAACCATGTCAGCAGCTAAACAAGTAACTAAACTAAATATATAATTTAACAACTAAACAAAAACATTAGGTAAAGAAATAGACTAGCCAACTAAATAAAGATTATTAATTTAGTTTAATTTGATTGAACTTAAATACATTTTTCCTTTGAATGACACTAAAGTTCAATACGGTCCAAGGCCTCCCGCTTTCCAGGATCCGTAAGATATTTGACAGGACTCTTTGGACGGGGGATCGGCAAATCATAAGGTTTTTACGCATGAATATCAATAGGAACACAGGATAAGAGCATAGATACGTCCGTGCCCTGATTGCATACTACCATTGCCCAGGCTGCAGAAGATAATAGAAGCCTTAGACCTTAGAGCCACTAGGACTGGCTTAAGTGTGGCTTTTGTTCTCACTGGTTCTTCTAGCCCATTGAGGCCCAGGCATCTGTTCAATTCTATAATCATTTTTCACAGACTGCAAAACTCCTTGAACGAGTGACAACACGAATAGAATAAAAGCACACACACACACACCAAACATCCATGACCTGAGTGGGATTCGAACCGACGATTCCAGCGTCCGAGCGAGCAAGATAGTTCATGCCTTAGACTGCTCGGCTGCTATGACCGTCTGAGTGTGGCTTACCTAATTAAATAACAAGCAATTAATAAATAAAACTTAACTGAAACAGATTAAATGAAAAAAGAATTGATTAAGAGGTGGAATTTATTAGGCTAGGAATCTGTATTGATGGAAAATATTGCATAGAAACCTATCACTGAATTCTGTGATTATTAAATGACAATTCTTATTAATTGATATAGTAACCAATTGACACCACAGCCCTTTGTTTGTCCCTGATTTTTTTTCTATAGTTTCCTAATTCTAAACGCAGTCGGTAGGTCTCCTTGGAACAGAGATCAGCGCGTCACAATTCCTCTGCCTACACACGGAATTAACGCACACAGACATCCATGGCACGAGTGAGATTCGAACCCACGATCCCAGCGTTCGAGCGGACGAAGACAGTTCATGCCTTAGAACGCCCGGCGACTGTGATCGGCAGTAGTTCCTGTTACCCCAACTTTCCTTTCGAATATTTGTAAATAGCGTTCTTGCCTTAAACGAAAATAAGAGCCTAGCATATTTCCAGCCCGTACACATCACAAGTTCCATGCCTTGGAATACTCCAGTTAACCATCCCGTAAGTTCCAGTCTTGATTTTAATTTCCTGTTTATATCTTGTCTGCAGGTATTGGGCCGTGACCAACATTGACTATATTCACCAGAGGACGGCTCGCCGGATCGGGCTGATGATCCTAGTAGTGTGGTCGGTTGCATTCCTCGTGTGTATAGCACCTCTGTTGGGGTGGAAGGACCCGGAGTGGTGGACAAGGGTGTCGGAGGAACGCGAGTGCCTCGTGAGTCAGGACGTGGGCTACCAGATCTTTGCAACTGCGTCTTCATTCTATCTGCCCCTTCTCGTCATCTTGTTCTTGTACTGGCGGATCTTCCAGACGGCCAGGAAGAGGATCAGAAGACGGGTGACGGCGTCGGCAGGATCTTCGGCAGCAGGCGCGGGCGCCGTTCGGAATCCTGCCGCCGGGGGAGTTATTGCGGGTGCAGCGGGTAAGGCAGTTCATATCAACTGTGAAGGTTATTTACCGGTATATGTAATATGAGCAACTGAGGATCGTTTATCATTTATTTCAGTCACCACCTCATCGGGACTCGAACCCGAGACCTTCCGGCTTGTAGCATAATGCCTCAAGTAACTACGCTATAAGATTTTACAAATCAGCGGTAATGAGCTCACAGTTTCAGCAAGAGGCTTAGTTATTCTTGACCAGTTACGCAACTGTGAGCGTTGTAATATGGTTACCTCATATCCGGTTTTAAGAGGAAGGAAAATGCTTTATATTTCGGTTCATCACGCCACATCGAAAGTTGTGTGAATATTTGAAACAGTTCATTTGCTGTAAACGGAAGTGCTATAGCTGAAGAAAATTAGAATATTTCTAACAAAGCTGCTTTATACTTACCAGCACGGGAATGTTCTTTGCTATGCAGATTTGGAGGAAGTTTGTGAATTGTAAATGTATCCTTCACCCTCTGAGAGGAAACTTAACCTTGCCCGTAAAAATTTAACATCGCGCATATTTTATTAAAATACAAAATAAGAAAAAACTAAAAACAGAATATAGCTAGTAGAAAATATATTGTCACATGTTGGGTACGTCACGCGACAAATAACTATATTACAAACCCACATTTAAATTTCTCTCCTTGCATTACTCATATTTTGTATGTACAAATCCCTTGACTATTTTATGTCAAATTGTGGAGACCCAATTCAATTTCAGAAGAAGCCATGGGCTGTTGAGAGATGTTTATCTGGTGACCCCATGTTAAACTTTCTTCATCTTGAAAAATATTTTAAAGGCGAGAGTCTAAAAAGTTGCAAGTTTCAAATTTTGAAAATGTTTCTCTTTTCTCCCCTTCCTCCACTCTGAATGTTCGTTTCGACGGGGGACCAGCCCTTCGCAAGACCGCTACCTAACACAAACACAGAATAAACACAGACATCCATGCCTTGAGTGAGATTCAAACCCACGATCCCAGTGTTCGAGCGGGCGAAGACATTTCATGCCTTAGATCGCGCGGCCACTGTGATCGGGCGTTCCTACGTTAGTTGCCTATAACAAGCGGAGGTTACTTTCCGAATAGCCCTCATATACCTGTTTTTGCATCAGGCGTAAGAGAGGAAAGGACTCAGTTGAGTCCATTAGACAGAACTGCTGTCGTCACTGGAAGCAGACTTCTGAGCAGAGTACATATCTTTTAAAGGCAACACACTTACTCGTATATTATTGGAATATAGATTCCTGGAACTTCTTTCGATATCCAGTTGTCGGACTCTCTTCTTTTGCCAGACTCGAGTAGGAGCAGCTGCTCCCTTATATCTGATAACGGAAATACGGCAGTCTCCGAAACGATGTGGTTTGTAACGAACCAAGATAATTAACAATGTTCTAAATAGTAATTAATTTATATTATTGGATGTTCATGACACAATTAATCATACTTTAAATAATGTTTGAAGGTGGTTAATAACCTTCAGACTAATCAAGCATTCAGAGTTTAGTAACAATAATTATGGAGGGAGTTTGTTTCGACTAATCGCATGTTGCATTTTACTGTAACTTTTAACATGAATACCACAATGAACTCTTAACATAACTCTTAATTTCCAACTATGTCTTATTGTCTTGCATTGATTTTCAGAGAGGCGATAAAACAGGTACTGAAACATATTTCAGCATTCTACTAAATTATGCTAGATGTCAGATTTGTAGGCTATGGAAGACCGTTGTGATTTGATGACGAACTGAAGAGAGAAACACATCCAGGAGGAAATAAATAACATATTCTTTACAGACGAAAAGTAAAGTAATGTAGGGAAAGTAATAAACTGGTGTAAGATTTGAGGCATTCACGGCGGTGACTATGAAGAAAGCAGTCTTCTGGGATGTGGCGCCGTGTATATGTAGTGTTAACACCACATATACACGGTGCCCAATCCCAGAAGACTGCTTTCTTAATAAACTGGTGTTTGTTTCAGGTACAACAGGAGGAATCGCAGCGGCTGTGATCACAGTGATTGGACGTCCTCTACCGACAATCTCTGAAACCACGACCGCCTTCACAACTGTGTCCTCCACAAACACGAGCCCAGAGAAGGGTTCGTTCGCCAATGGACTGGAACCAGAAGCCCCTACAGTGACAGACTGCAATATCAGCCCTAGCTACCAGCAGCAACAGCATCATCATTATCCTACCAAGAGAAAATCAAAAGATTCAGCCGACTCAAAAAGAGAACGAAAAGCAGCGAAAACATTAGCAATTATCACTGGCGCTTTTGTGATATGTTGGTTACCATTTTTTATAATGGCAATTCTTTTATCAGCGTACAGTGCTTACGAATTCAACGAGTATATGATTGCGTTCTTCCTATGGCTAGGGTATTTTAATTCCACGCTTAATCCTATTATTTACACCATATTCAGTCCCGAGTTTCGTCATGCCTTCAAGAGGATTCTCTGTGGTAAACGTAGCCTGCGGAGAAGAAACAGGCACTTCGGAGTAAGATACCTTCAATAGCTACTACATTGCAACATACACGTATTTAGTAACCGTTGTTCCATGTTCCGTTTTTATGCTCAATACTAAATACAAATAGTACAGCTTTTCTGATTCTTGTGAAGACGTCAAGACTGAATGTGTGTTTATGTGTATGTATGGAAGAGATTGTAGAAGTATACGATATGTCTCTTTGTGAAACATCATTTTGCTTTTATTACAGTTACATTTTTCATAGTAAAGCATTTAGCCTAAAAATTCTATTCGAGATAAATTCAGTTACAAAATGTTAGCGTAAATTTTCAACAGTTGGCATAATGCGGTTGCATAATGAAATGTTAACGAATGCGTTGTTGATAATGAGGATTGATTTCAAAGCGCTAAATCTCATTTGTAACATGGGATGTGTTGTCTTATACCGATGAAAATAGAACTACAAACAATATATAGTTTAAATTATCTGAAATTAAATATGTTTTGGAACATTTCTGAGAAATGTTAATTATATTCTCAACACACGTTCTTTTCTTAACAGTAATCATAATAAGGCTCCATGATCATCATGTATAAATTAATTATGATGAAACCATTTAAAATTTTATCAACTCTAATGGTCACACAGTCTAAGGCACTGTTCGTTTCTGGTTTCATGTTCTAATCCTCTTCATGGTAAAAATATTTGTCTGTATCGTTCTGTCCTTTCACAAGGTTACTAAAATAACACACGATGAAGTGGTCACCTGTGTCTGTTCTTACGTATGCCTACATTTAATTTCCGAAAATTCTAGATGGATTTTGGTTAAATTTGACTTTGATGTTTATATGAAAATTGAGATTTGAAATTTTCTTGGAGGTGAGTGTTAAGATTGCGGTCTTCTGTGATTTGAGTTGTATGATTTGGTAGGTAAATATCAACGTTTCGGAGGAAACAGCTGCCTTTGTTTTTAGGGTAGAATTTATCGGTCAACATTTATGTTATTTCCTATATGTCTGCTATAAACCTTCTTTCATAAGAAGCCTAAATTGTACTTTATCAGTTTTGTCAGAAATGGCCCATCATAAGAAAAATGTGTATATAGAAATAGTAAGACGCACAAATTTTAACTGGAAAATTCGTAGTTACGTTGAATATTTCATATCGAACAAGTACAAATACTTTAGCTTTGCGACAGTACCTTTTTATCTGTAACATGACTGAGCTCAGTAATCACGTCCATTTGTTTTACTTTTGTTGTGGACAAAGTACGTAGTTACACATCCAAGTAATAATTTACTTAAATATTTTTCAGCATGTATTTTGAAAAGCTATAATAATTATGTAACACAGTATCAACTCCGTGGCCTGTAGTCTGCAAGCCAACTGTACCGACCTAGCGATCGCCGCTTGTCGGCGAAGTTAGTGCCAACTTTAGCGGATAAAGGGTGTCGCGTGGTCAGGGCAACGAATCCCCACGGCAGTTAATTTCAGTTTTCTAGACCGGAGCCGCTATTTCCTTGAAATACCTCCACAATTATCCTCACGAGGCTGAGTGGACCCCGTTCCAGACCGCTACTGATCAGAAAATCTGGTAGCGCCTGGAATTGAACCCGAGATCTCTGGATCTGTAGCCAGGCACTCTGACAACTAGACCACAGAGGCGGTCACGTAACACAGTATAATATATGTTAAATATTTGTTTAAGATATATATATTCCAACCAATGTCATTTATAAACATAAGCCTGTACTAAACTAACTTTAAATAAGTGAGGTTACATACGTAATTATATAAATTGGAGATAGATTTTAATTGTACAGATAAATGTTTGAATTGGCATGAGGTAAAATTGCAAAGACCGCTTTTGAAAACTGGAATATTCTTTCCACAATTACTTTATGTTACTCTGTGAGTGTAGAGATCTCATAAGGCCAAGGGAATACATCACAGGAGATACAAAAGCTGTAGTTTCACCGCAATCTGTAATTTATATGAAATATAAATTTAAATTTATAACTTAACAGAAACAATTTATCTTTCAAAACTGTGCCGCGTAACATAAAATATATGTATCTCTCATTAAAGTTTGTGATTGTGATATCCCGTGCACGTAACGAAACATAAGGAAACTAAGAGATTCTTCTGCACGTGTAGGATGTTGGTGGCGCATTGAACAGAAAATCCATATTTCGTGCAAGCTATGTACTCAGTTCTACGGAAAATTACAGTGCCCTACTGCACTGTCCTAAAATGAATACCCAGAAAATTTATTCATCCGGTAATAATGAACAGCCGGATGTAATAAACAGCCGGAACTAAGCTCATCTGATCATATGCTTGTGGTCGTCTTTCACGGAACTTCTTCAAACAGGTAGACAGAGGAGACCTTTGTAATGAACTTCTCCTGTCTTGAAGACTCCGTCGTGTAACAATGGCGTTTGAAGATTTTAATCATGAAATATCCAGCTTAGGAGCACTGCCTGTTATGGTCTATATATTATTTATTATTCATGATTTATTTAGCGACGCTCTTCGACGTAGAATGGCAGGGAAGTTAGTGATTAATAATGTGGAGATGGTGTGGGAGGAAGCGTTTGTGGTCCGGTTTGACTTGTAGTCTCGGAATAGTACAGAGAAGGTAAAGGGTGTCTTACGATAGACACCTTTACATTATCAAACTTCTGAGGCTTTGCAAGCTAAAGGTAAAATTGATCCTGTGCTTAATTAATTAAGCACTGTGCCGTGAAGACTTACGAGGGTTGGAACTTTAATAGTGGCAATACTGCTGTAGAGACGCCATGCAACGGGACCAAATAATGTCGCTTATGCCACACGTTAGTTACATACCTACCTTACCTCAGAGCAAATGGACTCTCCCTTCCCACATCACGCGCATGCGCAATGACGAGAAGAACAGAGCCTCGTGTTAGCCGGCGGTCTAATGTAGTGTTGTCACGATGTTTTCGAAAGAGGAACAACGGAGTTGGATGAAGATTGAATGTGCCAGAGGCCGCACAGCACGACAGTGTCATCAAGGTCTTCAAGAGGCTTGCGGGGAATCTGCATTGCCTTACAGAACAATGGCAAGGTGGGTAGAAACCTTCAACGAGGGACGCCAAAATATGGCAGACATGCGTCGGCCAGGTCGTCCTAGTGTCAGTGTCCGCGTTACTGGAGAATAATCGACGCCATACGATTCGTGAGCTGGCCCGAGAGACAGGATTAGCGTATACGACTGTGCTTCACATTCTGAAGGAACGCCTGGGCATGAGAAAAATTGCATCACGAGGGATTCCTCATGATTTGACGGAAATGCAGAAATGGCTACGATACGACGCTGCTCGTAACCACTTGGAGCGCTATGAGCGCGAAGGAGAGGCTTTCTTACGCGGTATAATTACGCTGGATGAGACATGGGCCAAATCGTACGACACAAATGAAACGCCAATCGAACGAATGGCGTCATTACGGGTNAGAATAATCGACGCCATACGATTCGTGAGCTGGCCCGAGAGACAGGATTAGCGCATACGACTGTGCTTCACATTCTGAAGGAACGCCTGGGCATGAGAAAAATTGCATCACGAGGGATTCCTCATGATTTGACGGAAATGCAGAAATGGCTACGATACGACGCTGCTCGTAACCACTTGGAGCGCTATGAGCGCGAAGGAGAGGCTTTCTTCCGCGGTATAATTACGCTGGATGAGATATGGGCCAAATCGTACGAGCCACGAATGAAACGCCAATCGAACGAATGGCGTCATTACGGGTCACCACAAAAATAAAAAAAGTTCGTCAGAACCCCAGCAATGTGAAAGTTATGGTGATTCTTGTTTACGACTGTGATGGTGTTATCCTAACGCATACCGTTCCCCGACAGCAGACCGTCAATGCGCAGTATTACTGTTCATTTTTTGAACACAACCTGCGACCAGCTTTGAGAAAAAGCGGCGACACTTTCTGCAGAACCCACCCATCATTTTGCAGGACAATGCTCGGCCGAATGCAGCGCAAGCTGTGGCTGATATGTTAGATCGATGGGGCTGGGAAGTGCTGTACCATCCACCATACTCCCCGGACTTAAGCCCTTGTGACTTCGACTTGTTTCCTAAATGAAGGAACCACTTCGTGGCATTCGCTTCAGAATTGTTCCAAAGATTCTTCAGGCAGTAGACCGCTCCATTCGAACTATGAACACAAGAGGCGCTGCTAAAGCTATCCTACGACTTCCACATCGCTGACAACAGCTTGTACACAATGCTGGTGACTACATTGAAGGACAGTAAAACTTCGAAACATGCTTCTGTTTTGTATCAGTTGTAAATAAATAGTTGCCACTATTAAAGTTCCAACCCTCGATGAAAGAGTGGAGGTAAAGCTTCACCATTGTTGACCTCGCCACTAGATGGAGGTGAGTAGTCAGCTTCACGTCTCTGTCGCTTTATCCCTGAGGAACTCTCTCCCCGTACCCATTGGATAGGAGGTTGGGTGGGCCCCAGAGCCGGTCTGGATGCTCTCGACATGAGAAAAATCTTTGAACCTTCCCTGAATCGAACCACGGTCCTCCAGCCCATAGCCCGTCGCTCAGGTAGGCCGTTTATGTGGTTATCTATAGTTGAATAAGATGAAGTGACACGATTATGAACAACAAATACGGAGGAATCGCGGGCGGAATTAACATAATACAGCAAGGACACGAACCGGTACTACTTTAAGGCGAGTTCAACGGAGTACATCTGCTCCAAATTTCTGGGTCTCATTCTGTAGCCGTGAGCTTAGGAAGGAGAAAAGAAGCAATCAATTTCGGTAGCGAGTGGAATCTGAAGTTGGATCAGATTCACCATTCACTAAGCTAAGTCCTCAGAAATTTTCATCGCTTTAGAATTAATAACCGTCTTAGCCTCACATTGTCGTAGGGAAATACGCGTAAGAGCCACCATAGGACACGACCGAAAGTTGATTGCTTAAAAAATGCAATTACGTCTTGTTGATATTGCATATTTGATTTCATTTTCCATCATCGTATTGCACTATAAAAACTGAATCCACAAAGGACAGCATTATCCGAATTGAAATACCCCTGATTAAAAGGAAATACTGCAGAAATGGAACTAGTGGAGTGAAATAAAAACAACTGAAATTTCGTGAAATTTCGACGCCTTCAAATGCTCTAGAAGGAATCAGTGGTACACATGAGATGTTGGCAGGTTTGAAGAAATTGCATGAGGAGCTTCATAATTTATACTCCTCGCCAAACATACTTAGAATGAAAAAAAGTGAAGGAGGGTGAGATGGACAGGGCATGTAGCACTTATGAGGAGAAGATTAATGAGTATAAGATTTTGGTGGGAAACCCGGAAGTAAACAGACCACTGCTAAGATCTAGAAATAGGTGGAAGGATAACATTAAATGGATCTGAGAGACATAGGATGTACTGTTGTGGACTTGATGCATTTGGCTGTGAATAAGGACCGGTGAAGGGCTCTTGTGACCACATTAATAAAACTTCAGTTTCCATAAAATTTGAGGAAATTCTTGAGTAGCTGAGCGAGTGGCGGTTTCTTAAGAATAATCCAGCTCCTTGGAGTTAGCAGTAATGTATGTAGCTAGATTTTTCATTGGTAATTTAGAAACAGAAAAAATGCATAACAGGGTGCTGAGGAGAATATTTTTACCGAAGAGAAATGAAGAGACAGGAGGTTGCAGAAAACTGCATAATGGGGAGCTTCATTACTTGTACTCTTTGCCAAGTATAAGTAGAATCATCAAGTCAGGAGAATGAGGTTGGCAGGGCATGTAGCACGAATGGGGGAGAAGAGGAATGCATATAGGATATTGGTGGCCCAGGATAGGGACCAGTGGAGGGCTCTTGTGAACACGATAATGAACCTTCGGGTTCCATAGCATGCTGATAAATTCTTGAGTAGCTGCAGATTTGGCGGCTCTTCAAGAAGGGCTCAGCTCCCTAAGTATGGAAGTAAGTAAGTAAGTAAGAAATAAAGAACGCATATCGCAAGCGTCTGAACACGTAGTACTGAGGGAAACATTTCTAGGCGTAGGACGGTTGAAGTGAGGAACTTTCTCATTTGTACAAGCCACTTGAGGGTAGTAAAATCTAGGCTGTTAAGAAGGACTGGGCATGTAGCTACGATGAGGGAGACAGGGGATGCGTACAGAACTTTGGTGGGTAACTCTTGAAAGACGCCCACTTGGAAGAGCAAGAACGAGATATGAGGAAGCAATTAAGATGGCTTTTAGTGAAACAGAAGTGAAGATGAGAGTTAACTGGGACGTTGATGGAGATCACGCCCTGTTGCCAATTCTATAGGTGGTGCTGAATCGTGGGGTCCTCTTATTC